GATGAATGTAACTTGCATTTACTAACATATTTTTCGTAGTAGAATATTATGTACTACTAGCTTTTTACTCGCGGCTTCGCTCGCGTGCGCTTTAATTTAGGAGCATCATTAAAAGCTGTTCCGTGCCAAATTTAGAAAAATTCGATCACTTTTAGAGTCACCTCGGTGTCTATGTTTCTATGTCTGTCAAAGATTTTTTTTCATTCTAAAATACTATTAGACGTAGATGAATGGTAACATGCTATATAAACACGTGCTTATATATGTCTAGAAACACTTACTGTTTTTTATATCGGGCGTGTCTTCCGATTCCGATGTATCCATAAGAAAGGTAAATAGTCTTGAAATCAAAATGTATTATTATTATTTACATTGTACTCTTTACATTTATTCATAGTTAAAGTTAATTTAGTTTTAACAAAGTAATATAATGTTTATTTGAGACATTTTATTCATATCATTGGTCCTATTTAATATTGATTGGCACCATAAAACAGATGTAGATATTTTTTTTACTTCGTACTCGAAGACGTACGACTTGAAAATTTCATAAATACCAATCTATAATAATGAATACTACACATGGATTAAAACTAATCTTACGGGTTTTTTACGCAGCTTGGATGAAAGTTCCGAGTAAAAGAACATATCGTTGATTTGAGGCACCGAAGCTCAGGGAAGTCTAAAGTATGTCAACATGTTTAGTATCATCCCAACCATTAAATCAGATCTGATAGACAACAAATCCTTGCAATAGAACACCGAATCCTACCAATGATGATTCGCGAGGCTATTGAAATTAAAAATATGCTAATTTTAACAGGGAAGATGGCTGAGTGCTACCATCTGCTAAGGACCCCATAATTAATAAAATTAAATTCAAAGTTCAAACTACTACTGCATTTATTCTATTCTATTTTAACCGGTTCAGTGCGGGTGACACGCCAGGCGTGCCATCGATTACTTTTGTGTGTGGCGTATGACACGCGAGTCGTGTCTTTTTTTAAAATCGTTATAACTCGCTCAAATTGCTTTTTTGGAAAATTTATCTAATTGCTTTTTTGGAAATTTAATATATTAATAATAAATTATTTTGCGAGTAGTTCATGCATGCAGCTTCGTTTCTGGATATTTTGAAAATTTGAAATTTTTAGGGGTTGACAACCTTTTTTTAACGTGTACATGGTACTATTTTTACTTCGTGGGTTTTAAATCATGTTATGGAAAAATTGTCTAATAAGTAACAAATAATAGCACTCATTGCGATCGCTCACAAACTCAAGTTGTAAATGTCTGTGGCGCTTGAGACGCCCGACGTGTCATGAAATATTTGTTCGCCGCCACAGCTAAAAGTTGTCGAAAATTGGTGCCGCAACGAATCGGTTAACTACGACATCAGGTCGTCAAGCACCTCAGTTCTCCCGCCCCTCCCGTGACGATGGATGCTGTAAAGTGCCCAAAACATCGGGAATTTAAAAAGTTACAATTAAACGCGATAGAATCCTTAAAATTAGTTTTATTCCTTATAAATATTATTCACAGTGAACGTGTGGATCACTACATTCATGAACGGGAGTAGAAAAATGTTCGCCCTGTTGTGGCGGTGAAAGAAAATCCACCACCTCATATCGTCCCGTCGTAAGAGGCGACATAGGAAAACAACCTGGAGATGGGATGGGCTGCATCATCTTTTTGACAACAAATCAAAATAATAAGAGCTGCGGTTGCCAACCCGCCTACCAAGCGTGGCAACTATAGCAAATATCCAGCTACTTTTATGCTACAATTTATGGGGGAGGCCTATGTTCATTTCAGTGGACTTTTGATAGGCTGACGATAATGAGTTCTACTCATCTTTGCAAGCCTTAATTTTTACGGTAGAGTGAAAACAAAAAGTAACATACCCGAAAACACGAATGAAATAAAAACTGCATATATTGCCCTATGAAAACTAAAAAAATAGCAGCTTACATACATGCTACTAATGGGCACAGGCCGCAGAGCTAAAAAAGTGTCAGCTGCGCTGATTCCCACGCGGGATGAATGTAATGTTAATGATTCAATTATTTACATCGTATATTCAGTAGCGTTGTATTATTTCATTTTATCAATGACTTCCATTTTAGTTTATTTAGAAGTAAGTAGGTGGCGCTAATGTTAGATGAAATAATGAAAGCCAAAACCAAACCACCTAGTAATATCAGCAATTGAAGCAAACATTTATTTATTATGTCAATAAGGGATAAAGTGATGTCAATTCCCTTAAAAGTTCTGTTTCTGTTAAAAAATACGCTATAAGCGCCACTAGCGGTGAAAAAAGATTTAATGATATCGTCATATTATGAAATAGCAACGTTGTGTTTAGTTATTAATATCTCCAAACGATTTCTATTCATTGATTTGGTCAAGCTATATCATGACATGGTGAACAAATAGTGTTAAATATAATGAAATGACCACACCACTTCACGAAATGATAGACTACGTTATGATATACCTATGATCAATTCTACGATCTGGCCACGACGTATATAAAAATCTCTTGAATAAAACTTTCATGATAATGAAAATTTTGCAACAATTGCAGACATACCAGTTTTAATCACTTTATATATATATTAGTAATTGCAATAAATACCTTATCCATTTTCATATTTTTGATAGACGTCACTATTATCTATTGAAATTATTACACTTTTAAAATAAAATAACAAAAATACTAAAAACTAAACGTGAGTTTTTTAATAATTTTAAAAATCTAATATATTAATCGTATACATGCAAGTTATTTATATTATTTCATTTATTAGTAACTGAAGGCAAAATATACTACTTTTTCCATTTGATGATAGATGGCGCCATATTGAATACCCAATCGGTGTAGTTTCAAATTATTTTACCAACATTATAACTATATTTTAAACTTTATTTACAAATATGGTATTTATTTAGAAACACCCGTCATCCCACCTGCAACAAAGATATAATAGAAAATTAACATATAAAGGAAATAAAATACTTAACCTTCCTTTTTTGAAGTTCCGTAATCGGATAAAAAGTAGTCTATAAGTTGCCCCGGGTTACTCACTACCTACAACAAAATTTCATGAAAATCGGTTCAGTAGTTTTTGCGTGAATCCGGAATACACAGACAGACAGAAAGACAGACAGACAGAAAGACAGACAGACAAAAATTCTAAAAACCACTAATTTGGCTTCAGAACCCTTTATTTAGTCCCCCAGACTTGTTTTTTCAAGAATATATTAGAATTACAGACACGACTTTTCTACAGATTTATTATATGTATAGATTATGTTTTCGTAGTAGAACGTTATCTTCTTAGTTGTTACAGATATGTTTACGATTAGTAAACATATTTGTTCCATTTCATAAACTTTTTTTAGTAGTTGTTCAGATAATAATTTTGTCACTCTTACGTTATAATGGAATTTTTCGTAACTTTTGTTATCAAAGTTTTATTTAATGGAGAAATAAGTAACAACGAAGAAGACTTGCTTCGACTAGGCTGCGGGTAAAGTGGAACTCTCACATAGAAAATCAACGAGAAACACTAACTAAACTGCTATGTTTCTCAGTAATAAGTGTTTACCTGTGAAATTGCCGTTCTGCAGTGTTGGTCATTTCAAATCAAAATAATTTTTATAGCTTTTTACTGCATATCTCACTATGGTAACTTAAAATTGAAGTAAATACCGCGGAGAGAAACAATTAGCGCGCGTGTCCTTTTATGACTAATAACGTCGCCCCTACAATTTAGAGACTGTTCATGTTCACACTTCATACCCGTGCTTACTGTTCATACTGGCTAACGCGCGCGCTATAGCTTGCTTATGTATACTCAGAGATTAAATCCGTTAAACCTTAGCGGCAATTGAACCACAAACATTCAAACAGGTGCATACTTTCATATATTCTTACAGCATATAGTCCACCTAGTGGTAAGTGGGTGCTGAGTAGTGAGTAGTACCTAATATTTTATTCTGCCTGTTATCTGCAATACCCTATTTTGTTATTAAAATGTGAGTGATAGCTAATTTTCTATTCATTACATAAAAGTTATTAAACAAAATACAGCTTATACAGATTAAGAATTACAGTTGTATGAATAAATTAGTTCATTTGTTACACTGTTATATTTAGTCAGGTGATAATTTATTTTATGAATAACTTTTAAATAACGATTACTTTGAAAAATCAGCCTTAAGTCTGACAAAATGTATTCAATATTTAAAAAAGTACTGTCGTTTCATGAACGTCTAAAGCAGTCTTCCTCAAAGTGGGCATTGACGCCCCCTTGTGGGCGCTGGAGACCTAGAGGGGCCCAGAAAAAAAAGTGGAGGCGTTGTCGTGGTTTAGCGAGGCGATGGTTGATTTGTAATCTCATTTATGTACTTTACATTTTAAAACTTCCGTCTTTAAAACCGTGACTTCGTCCGCGTGTAATTTAGGCTTTTAATTTTTTTACGAGGAACCCTAATTATTTCTCTAAAATAAAAGTAGCCTAAGTTACTCCTTATGACATCAGCTATCTGCCAGTGAAAGTCCCGTCAAAATCGGTCCAGCCGTTTCGGAGATTAACCGGAACAAACAGACAGACAAAAATTTTAAAAAGTGTATTTTTGTTATAAGTACCGTTAATACTTTCATATGCATTTAGTAAAACGCTGTAATTTTGACATTACAAACAGACACATCAATTTTATTTATTTGTATAGATTTACTAAAATTACAACCTACCTACTAAATATCGAATGATTAGTTTATATTTCTGTCCTGTATGACTTATAAACTAGAAATACTTAAAATAGATTTCGTAGGATAGCCCGAGCGCCGTACGCAATCAAGTTCTAACAAATTTTTGTTAAATAACGCTATTGGTGCAATCATGATATGATAAATGACAAACACTTCCCTGTATTTGGAAAACCGTCGACCAAATAAATGTGGTGTACTTGATAGATATTTTTTTTTGTTTCAGAATCTTCGTGAACAGATCACTGCACTTGGAAAATGTTAAATTCTACGGTTTTGATATGGATTACACATTGGCTGGTATATATGAATAAATTTCCCTATTGAAATATTTTAGTTTAAGCATTAATATTTAGATCAAAGTTGGTAAAAATTACTTTGCTTAATATATCCGCTTAGTTAAATAGTGTGTTACCTAGTTTGAAACACATCTCTCGCCCTTCATAAATTGCGTGCACTATCCTCGTCACCACTCATCCCAGCACCACTACTCCCAACACCACTACGCTTGGAAAGACTCACCACCGACGATAATACCACACGGTTTTTAACGGTGGTAGAGCCTTGCAGCAGCTTTTGCTGTTGCACGTATGGGCCGGCTCGAGCCGGGTTAGTACCACGACCTCACAGAATACCGGCGTGAAGTGGAAGTTCTGCTTCCGCGTTTCGTCTGGTGAGTGCAGGTGACCGGATGCCCAATTCCCCCCCCCCCCCCATCAACATGGTAGCGGAATTACGTCATAAACTACCCCAGGAGGGTACCAGTACCCCTGGAGAATCCCTCGCTGAGCATCCACGACCATGCTATTCCACTCCTGAGCGTGGGTGCTCAGGCTGCCCCGCGTATTCTGGGGGGGGGGGGGGGGCAAAATTCCGCTCAACACAATAACTGCTCGGGGCAAACTGAGCAACAAGACCAAGGCGACCCCTGCCACGCTATCCGTGAATTTCTGCAACATCAGGGGACTTCACTCGAACCTAAACGCCGTCCACTACCATCTTGAGACGGCGAAGCCGGCCTTGCTCTTTCTGACCGAGACGCAGGTGTCCTCTCCGGCTGATACTTCGTATCTCTCCTACCCGGGGTACAAATTGGAGCACTCCTTTGTGCCTCGGGCTGGAGTTTGCGTGTATGTCAGAGAGGACATCTGTTCTCGACGCCTCGGCAGTCTTGAAGGTTCGGACCTGTCCATCCTTTGGCTACGCGTAGACAGCGACGACCATCCGCGCGTCTACGTGTGCCTCTATAGGTCCCATAGCGGTAATGCCGAAACAGACCGACTCATCGACCACGTCCAAATGGCTACAGATTCCTTGCTACAACAGGTCCCATCCGCAGAGATCGTGATCCTTGGCGATTTTAACGCCCACCACGCCGAATGGCTCGGTTCACGTTTAACCGATCATGCGGGGAGATCTGTTTATGACTTTGCCTTGGCATATGGTCTGACACAACTGGTTACATCGCCTACGCGGATTCCAGATGTTGAGGATCATACACCTTCCCTGTTGGACCTTCTGCTGACCTCTCATCCGGACGGATATCAGGTTTCCGTCGATGCCCCTCTTGGCTCTTCGGACCATTGTCTGATCCGGAGTGTGGTGCCACTCACGCTCCCCTCGCGGTTGCGTTCTGCAGGTTGCCGCCGTGTTTGGCATTACAGGTCGGCGGATTGGGACGGAATGCGGTCTTTCTTTGCTTCCTACCCATGGGGGCGGGTTTGCTTCTCGCCGGATGATCCCAGCGCTGTTGCTGACTCTGTCACTGATGTAGTGCTACAGGGAATGGAACTATTTATTCCATCATCTGTGGTACCTGGTACCCATCGAAGGCAGATCTCAGCCTTGGTTTGGTCGCTCCTGTAAGACTGCATTACGCAGTAAGCAGGAGTGTTATCAAGCCTGGGCTGCGGCTTCGGTGACTCGGGATGTAAACACCAGCACACTCAAAAAGAAGTATAACTTCGCCTCCAGGTCCTTCAAAAGAGTTATTGCCAAGGCAAAGTCAGAGCACATAGGCAGAATTGGCGAGAAACTAGTTCGCCTTCCTTCGGGAACCCGTGCATTCTGGTCTCTCGCCAAGGCTGTCCAAGGGAATTTCTGTAAGCCATCACTACCATCTCTGCACAGGGAGGACGACTCACTGGCTCACGACGCAAAAGAGAAGGCCGACCTTTTAGGCTCCCTTTTTGCGTCCAACTCGACTGTTGATGACGGGGGGAACACACCGCCGACCATCCCGCGGTGTGAGTGCTCCATGCCGGATGTGCGATTCTCACAGCGCTCGGTTCGCAGAGCACTCCTCTCCCTTGACATCCACAAGTCGAGTGGGCCTGACGGAATCCCCCCAATTGTGCTGAGGATGTGTGCTCCGGAGTTGGCACCGGTTTTAACGCGTCTTTTCCGGTACTCCTACTCCCTAGGCGTAGTCCCGAAATCATGGAAGACAGCTTTTGTCCACCCGATCCCTAAAAAAGGCGACCGCTCAGATCCGTCCAACTACAGGCCTATCGCCATCACCCCCTTGTTCTCCAAAATAATGGAATCCGTTGTAAACTGCCACCTCATGCGGTACCTTGAGGATCACCAGCTGATTAGTGACCGCCAGTACGGTTTTCGTCGGGGTCGATCAGCTGGTGATCTTCTGGTCTACTTAACTCATAGATGGGCGTTGGCAGTAGAGTCCGAGGGGGACGCATTGGCCGTTAGTTTGGACATTGCGAAGGCCTTCGATCGGGTTTGGCACAAAGCGCTTCTTTCGAAGCTCCCTTCCTATGGGCTTCCCGAGAAATTATGCAATTGGATCACCAGCTTTCTTGCAGATCGGAGCATCAAGGTCGTTGTAGACGGTGCATGCTCCGACTACAAGCCTATTAACGCTGGTGTTCCACAAGGCTGCGTGCTATCACCAACGCTATTTCTTCTGCATATCAATGATATGTTGCAAGCTGGTAGCATTCATTGCTATGCAGATGACAGCACTGGTGATGCTCTATACACCGGCCGTGCCAATATTTCTCGGGAAAACGTCACCGAGTACCGGAACAAACTTGTGTCTGAAGTCGAGTCTTTGCTGGACAAAGTCTCGGATTGGGGGCGACTAAATCTAGTCCAGTTTAATCCTCAGAAGACACAAGTTTGCGCGTTTACCGCTAAAAAGAACCCCTTTGTCGTATCTCCTCAGTTTCAAGGTACTCCCCTTGTTGCCTCAGCCAGTATCGGAATCCTCGGCGTCGACATATCGAGTAGCGTGCAGTTTCGTGGTCACTTGGAAGAGAAGGCCAAATTGGCCTCTAAAAAGCTTGGCGTGCTCAGCAGAGCGGGACAGTATTTCATGCCGGCTCAACGCCTGCAACTTTACAAGGCGCAGGTTCGGCCTCACATGGAATACTGTTCCCATCTCTGGGCTGGGGCTCCCCAGTGCCAGCTTCTTCCACTTGACCGCATCCAGCGCAGAGCGGCTCGAATCGTCGACGACCGAGTCCTTTCCGATCGGCTCGACTCATTGGCACTGCGAAGAGATGTTGCATCTCTTAGCATTTTTTTTTCGCATTTACCATGGGGAGTGCTCTGAGGAATTGTTCGGATTAATCCCAGCCGCCAAATTTCACGAACGCACATCGCGGCAGAACTCCCGATACCATCCACACCATCTGGATGATTGGCGGTCCACCACTGTGCGATTTAGAAGATGTTTTCTTCCTCGCACAACTTCCTTGTGGAATAGTTTACCACCAGCGATTTTTCCGGACCGATACGACTTAGGGACCTTCAAGAAAAGAGCCTACTCTTTTTTAAAAGGCCGGCAACGCATCTGCAATTCCCCTGGTGTTGCGGTTGTTCATGGGCGGCGGTAGTCACTTACCATCAGGTGAGCCGCATGCTCGTTTGCCCCCTCTCCTATAAAAAAAAAAAAAAAACGTGTTTCGCCTCTACACGAGGCATCCTCAGGTTGAGTAGACTGCGGTAGCTGACCGCTAAGTGACTTAGCGATCTTTTTTACCAACTTTATTATATTTGATTTCCGCAAAGTAACGCGTGATTCTATTAAATAATATTTCGATCTTAAAATGATGGTAAACAGAAAATAAAATGTATTTTTTTTTTATTATTGGATTGTTGAGACTTTTTCTTATTGTTTTGTATAATCATCAAGACAAGTCCACTGCTGAACCTAGGACTCCCTCAAGGAACGCCATAAAGCACGGCCCTGAGCCGCCTACATCCATCGATTTCCTGTATGTCTTACCAGGTCGTCACTTCATCTAGTAATTGGCCGCCCTACACATTGCTGTTGTTCGTATAATTGAGGTTTTTTCTTATTCCCCCTTTAGTACTACCTGCAGGCCTTCTGCTGTTGAAATGTTAACATACTGGATAGACCAAATCGATTAAGAACTAATTTTCAAGCTTGAGGTTTTAGTTACATATGTTCTTTACATAGTTAATTTATGAATGGTTTATATGAATTTATTTTAAATGTTCATTATATTTAAAACTTATTTTTATTTTCAGAATACAAATCGCCGCAATATGAAACACTTGGATTTAATTTAACCAAAGAGAGATTAGTTAGCAAGGGATACCCAAGTGAAATATTAGAATTTGAATATGATCCTTCTTTTCCCGTTAGGTGAGTTTTTGAGTATTCGCGATACTACTATTAATTATTATCTATTGTTTTATAGTTTTCCGCCGTGTAGTGGCAGCGTAAATCTCCAACTACCCCCATTATCCCGTGGGTGTCGTAAGAGGCGGCAGAGAAAAATAAAACAGGAGATGGGCATATTTATAACAACTCGAAATAATAAAAGAACTGCAATTGGCAATATCCCATAGTGGACTTTTGATAGACTGTAATAGATAGATGGAATCACCGGTTCTTTTTCTATAAGAGCTGTGGTAGCTCAGGGGATAAAAACTCGCCATATTCGTAGTACGCGACCAACCCAAGTTCGAACCTCGATAGCACCAATGAAAAAATTATTGTTATTTTTTCAATTTCAAATATCGATTTGTCACTTGCTCTGTGGCGAAGGCAAACGTTGCAAGAAAATCCGCCTGTCTAAGAGATAAATTTTTTCGAAGACATTGAAGACTATTAATTATTGTCCGCGTTGGAATTTCACAGACTTCTTCCATATTGAGCAAATGAGAGTCTATTCCCAGCTGTGGAACGCATAATAGGCTAATGCCTTCATTAGTTCTTTGGTTTTCATTTTCTTAAAGTGTGGGAGGTACCAAACTCTCGCGCGGAAAATGTCCAGAAACTGCTGCGACTCCAAGCCACTCTCCAACTATTACGTTTGTGAAGTGTCATTTTGACTTTCATTTTCTGTTGAAGTTATGCTAGGACACCTTTCTATACTTAACGGTATTCGAAAGTAGACATTCAATTTCAAATCGCCGTAAAATCCAACTACCAACATTTACTTAATCATTATCCACATCTCAAATGTAGCAAACGGCATGTAAAATTTATTACGCATTCCTGAGGTGTTTTTTAGATATCCAAAAGTCGAATGATAACGCAACGTATCACGTCACTTGATAAATATAGTTTTAAAATTGTTTTTGTTTCACTTTTTAAGAACCAATTCTATTTCTGATTTTAAATAATATTGCGATGATATATTTGTCGGGATATTGTGCATTCGGTTTTTTTTGTGCTTTATTTTTATTTAGAATTTAAAAATATATTAAAACAAAAATAATACGATAAAGTGAGTTTTTGTGACGGAATAAGTTCTATTTAACCGGTTCAGTGCGGGTGGCACGCCAGGCGTGCCATCGATTACTTTTGTGTGTGGCGTATGACATGCGACTCGTGTCTTTTTGAAAATCGTTATAACTCGCTCAAATTGCTTTTTTGGAGAATTTATCCAGAACAAAATATTAATTATTTTGCAAGTAGTACATGCCTGCGGCTTCGTTTCCGGATATTTTGAAAATTTGAAATTTTTAGGGGTTGACAACCTTTTTTTAACTTGTACGTGGTACTCTTTTTACTTCGTGTGTTTTCAATGTTATATATCAAAAATGTATGATGCGTACAGTTTTGATATATAACATTTGTTTTAACTGTGTATTAGGATTTAAGAAGTAAGCTGCTTTGTTACAAAAAATGATTTTTTTTTCTTTTTATAATTATTAGTATGTACTTACCATTATTTCAACATTCTATTTAAAAGAATCATACATAATATACTTAAATGGATATTTTGATTTATTACGATCCATAATGTCTTCCAAGATTTCCGTTGTTTACTCTCTGCGCGGCAAGAATGTGCGATAACAGCATTTGATAAAAATAGTTAAATAATATTGGTAGACTCGAATCTTGAACATTGCAATTTATTTTTGAATTACCTATTATTAGAATGTATAACGGATGTTGTGCGTTAGAGATAGAGGCCGTAGCACCACACTTATTTTCTACATTTTAGGCGTATTATGCAGATATTATAATTACTAATTATTTTCAGTGGTTTCAATAGATCTTTTTTATAGAAGGAGGGCCACAAACGAGCTCACAGTCCAACTAATGGTAAGTGGACTCGATGAAGTACCAGTAAAATAGGTCTTTTCATCATCTACATGAAGCTCGCACACAACTTATACGTTGTAATTTTTTTTTAGTTGTATAATGTGATTTGAGATATAAAATATTGTATAAAATGTTAATAATCATGATGAATTACATAAAGCTAATATTATACCATCTTGTACATAAATTAGTATACTTAATTCCATTTTGCCGTTTCGATTTTATTACTTACCTACGGCATAAATTACATAAATTATATGAGAGTGCAGCTTTATAAAACAATTTATTTACTTGCCCATAATGTTTTTTTCTCAAGTTGTTCTAATGGTTCCGATTTGATGATATTGAATTTCAAAGAAAATATCGCCAAGTTTTGAGGTCCCAAAAGTTTAATTATACAGTTTTTAAAATTATACGAATGTGCTTATACCTACTATGCAAGTGATAAACACATGTTTAAGTTTTCACTTACAAAAACCTTAATTATAAAAACAATTTAACAATGTAACCTCACACAAATTGTCTAACAAATAATATGTAGATAACAAATGGAAAGTCAACATTATATTCTGCGCAGACTGCATCGTATTCACATTCATTTTCACAGAAATAGATTGATTATATATTTAAATTTAACTTAATCTATAATTTCAGATCAATTATTTGACAAAATGATGATAATTTTTACTCGTTTGAAGTTTGTAAGGTCGTATAATGTAATAAGATGTTATTGTAATTATTTGTTTTCTCTTCTTAATCTGTCCTTATTCAGTTCTTTCACATTCTAATTTAAAAAAATATGTATATCTGGTGATAATACTAATGATCTAACATTGATTCCAGAGGTCTATGGTTCGACACTTTATACGGAAACTTACTAAAAGTAGATGCTTATGGTAACATTCTAGTTTGTGTGCATGGATTTGAATTTTTGAAACAGTAAGTGAAATGTTTGACTAAATTGTGTTTTTTTTTTAAATCTAAATTTAGAACTGGATGTTGAATGGTTTTGTTGTTTCAGTTCGCAAGTGTACGCGTTATATCCAAATAAATTCTTGACGTTAGATGAATCAAGGGTTTATGTATTGAACACATTGTTTAATTTACCAGAGACTTATTTAATAGCTTGTTTAATAGACTTCTTCACAAACTCGCCGCAGTACACAAGGTAATGTATTCTTGAGTTTAATTATGTTATTAAATCAAAAGAAAAATTTGTTTATTACGTTTTAAATGTGGTACATATAACACGAAAATGGTTAGTGGCCAAGTTATGACGTAATGACTTGGATTGAACGAGGTTTTTACGTTTCACTTATATAATAATGTCCTCCATACCGAATTTCGTTCATGGCGGACAGTCTCAACGGAGAGTAGCTATCTGCGCAGGACAAGATTAATGTGCCCGAATGTATGATCTGTACACAGGTGCACTCTTTATTCACTCACTTTCATAGTTCGTTGAGACGACAATCCAACACCACCGAAGAGAGATCAGGCGCACGGGGGCTAAATACTACCAACTTCCTGACTCCGGACAGCTATTAAGAATTTCTTTTTTTTTATAGTAGAGGGGGCAAACGAGCATGCGGCTCACCTGATGGTAAGTGACTACCGCCGCCCATAAACAACTGCAACACCAGGGGAACCAGGGGAATTGCAGATGCGTTGCCGGCCTTTTAGAAAGGAGTAGGCTCTTTTCTTGAAGGTCCCTAAGTCGTATCAGTCCGGAAAAATTGCTGATGGCGATCGAATCCACAAGGAAATTGTGCGAGGAAGAAAACATCTAAATCGGACAGTGGTGGACCGCCAACTATCCAGATGGTGTGGATGGTATCGGGAGTGCTGCCGCGATGTGCGTTCGTGAAAATTTTGAATAAAATATAAAAAAATTCTTGATAGAAACACCCAACAACTAACGGAATTCGAACATGGGACCTCATCATTAGCAGCTGCGTTTTCAACCACTAGACCGACAAGACAAGTACCGCTTTTAAAACTTACCTTTCCCTTATAAAACCTGCCCACGTAACGAGTTGGGGCCTATATTCATAGTGGAATAAGAAATAGAAAACTAGAAAAATATATTTATAGTATAATTTATATTAGTATGCCACTGCTACATGTGTAATAGTTATAAACTTAGTCATTTTCACGCCAGGAAGTACATATCCGGAAAACCTGTTTAGTAGTTGACGCATAGTGTTCAGGAAATTAGTATTTCTTAAATATCAAAACAAATTAGTAAAACGGAAACATAGCCCTTCTTTGCTAGCCGTATAAGGGAGTTTAAGGCCGCGCTCTGCACCTCGGAACTTGTCAGTGAGCGCGGCTAAAATGCGTGTTGTCCCACTTAG